ATGTATCCTAGACGTTACGGAAATGCGACTTGTAATCGGGTAACTTAATAATAGCTTCGTAACCGAGTATGTTAACGCAAGTAAGACCTTAAACTCACGGATAAATATGTAAGAACACCTCGAGGAAGGAACAAAACTTAAGCCCGTGAATATATTTGGTTGAGCAAACACTTCCAGCACCGCCGCGGCTACATGTCGGGAAATTGGGGCATGGATGAATGCTAGGGAAGCAATTTCGCACAGCCGGTTTGATAGCATCTCAATGTCATACCAAAGTTCCATGACGCAAACAAACAATGACGCGTGACGAGCATATTTGCGGAAAAGATAACGTTTGTTGTAAAGAGCAATTTCTTCTATTGAAAAGTATACCAGTAGCTATAGGCGAGCTTATGATATCAGATCTTATGCTTGCTTTTACATCTTCAAAGGTGGAAACTCCCTTTAACTTGCTGGCTTTTGTCGTTAGGACGTTTAGTGCCGCGTCACTGCAAACTCAAATGTTGAGTACGGCGATACATTTCTCAATCACAGGCACAGCACAGCACAGCACACGGCCAGCGGGGTATGGTGCTCGTGCGGCGATGTTATACACGTCCGGGTGACTCCCATAGACAGCACATCGTAGGCTTCACAAGCTCACGTGCACGGAGCTCAGAAATAAGATAATTTTAGGGCTTAAAAGGAACATAGCTGTGAACTGCAAGAAATGTTCATGACAATGGCCAGTGTTACTTAAAACCCCATACCAATGCTGAGCAGTCCCTTTAAGGCTAATGATACGGATTCAACTGGGCGTTGTGGGTTTTAGGAGGAAATCATCAAACACGTTTCAGCCTGGCTTATAGAGGTAGAGGTGAATAATGACCCCATTTGGCATTGTATGTTAGAGTCGGGATTTTTGGCACTCAGTTAACGTGACCTAGTGTGCTTGGTAGTTGTCTTTCAAGCATGGTCCTAATTTAAAGGTCTAGAACGCGCCTTGATCTCCAAATTTGCCGTCTCAACTTTTGGGGGCATAAAGACATCTATGGCTTAGGGGGTAAGGAGATAAGTTTTACGCAACCGTTTTTTGATTGAAATTATGATGGAAAGTCTCCTTCTGCACTCTGTGATGGATGCTCCTTTTTCCACACTCGCACCGTATTTCCTCCTGCACATTTTTCATGCTAGGAAGGCTGCCAGATCTGGTCGGCTTGCACAATAAATTAAAAGAATATTTGTTGCGCTCTTTTCGATGCCCATGGATAAGACGGCACTAATAATCTCATTCTTCGTAGAACAAACTGGAAGAAGGAGATATATATATTTGCAAAGCGTTGCAACTCATACCGTTGGAGTTACTATTGTTGCATACCGAAATGGACTTAAATCCACCTATATCTCCATTCTCCTGGTTATTCTACGAGGAATTAAGCTATTTGTACTATCCTATCTCATGCACAGTATCCCTCGCAAATGCACCCAACAGCTTACGTATTTTCCACACCACTGAACTTACCATGGACTTGGACATGGACAAGCGATGGTCATTACAACACCTTGCATGCGTCGGTGATCAGGGCCGGGGAAAATGTTCAGAAATGGAATACGCAATAGCCGTTGTATTTTCAATAAACAGCGACTGCACAAGCTGGTCTCTCGGGCTGGTGATCACAAATGCCGCTTTTCGGAGGAACAAAATAAACAGAATGCCGCCCGGCCCACGCCTTGTTGACCTGTGGACTTGTGGGTCAGGTGGTTGGGTGGCCCTCTTTCAATCGCCGTAGTATGAAGCAAATTCAGCAAATTGTGTGAAAAAGGAAGGCCAAATCCCAAAAAGCGCCGGGGGGGGGGGGCAGGCAGCGTGAGAAAGCAAGGTACTAAAAATGTCGTGGTTAACGAAGTCCAAGTCTTTCTCGGTTCCTCGACTTTGTATGTAAGCTCTATTTCGTTTTCTTGAACTTTATGGAATGATGTTACAGGGAATGTTTCACAATGGAATATATTGAAGCAAGCATCAGATATGATGAAATAACCTCACTTATAGCCGTTGGCGCACTTTTCGAGTGGAAAAGACTGCTCTAAATAGCTAAATTCTCTGTTTAGTAAATATGCTACTCAATGTGTCATGATTTGATTACAGCATCGTACCTCTCACGTTGATTGAGAGCAAATTGACGGCTGTGATATCTGGAAATCGCGCTCATGAACGCCAGATATGAACGCTTCGACAGTTATATTTTTTTGCCCTTATCGTTGCAGGGATGATAGAATGTCAGGATTTGAATGCCATCATCATGACGTCATGAATGCCAAAGTGACTGAAATCCCCGATATACCTTTATCCATTTTCGTGGGCGTGTAGCTCGGAAACTAAAGGGGCTGAGGTCTTAAGAGGGGCGGGATCGTGAACACTACCGAAAGGTCTTCAAATGCCTATTTCAGTTCAAAACCCCACATAAATGTGAACCACTCCCTTTAAAGCTAGTGTTCCACATTTGTATGGAGTTTTGAACTGAGCTAGTCATCTTGACAACCTCTCGGTGCCTAAGACCTATGTCCCTCTAGTTTCTGGGCTATACGCCCGCGCAAATAGTGTGAATATCCCGGGAAATGTATTCACTGGACACCTGGACATTGATGACTTCATAATAACGTCATTCAAGTCCTATCATTCAAAAAGCCAAGCGGCGATCGAGGCCGAAAAATCGTAGTCCCTCATGCCCGGTGTTCATAGCCAAGTCGTTGATATCTGCCGTTTGTGAACATGATTTTGAGGTGTAACGGCCACCAATTGTCTCTCAATCAAAGTAGTGCAAAAATGTGATGACAATTAAACAAAAACGTATTGAGAAGCGAATTCAGTACCGAGAAATTGTGTTTGTAGCGGCCTTTTCGACTGAAAAGTGTGCCAGCAGTTAAAAGTTAGCTTGTTTCGTCACATCTGGTGCTTGCTTCAATATCTTCAAATGTGAAACACTCCCTTTAACGCGCCCGTTGCGAGGGTAAAAGTAGACGATGACTAGGAGGAGTGAGGAAAGATAGGGCAGAATCAGGGATGGCAGGATGTATGACTGAAAAGGCTAGATACGAGGGAAGGGATGCGCTTAGGAAACGGTAATACAATCGAGGTTATTGGCTTCAGTAGGCGACGAACTGAACAGGCCGCAGAATATGGATGGGTGTGCGAGAACAGGGGGCAACAATAATGAAGCACGAATACGCATGAGTGATATTGGGCTGATTCTCGCATGTAAGATTCGCTGTCGATTTTGCTCTAGGTGTTTCCTTGTGCTGTTCAATGATATATAAATATGTTCTCTGCAATGTTCGCAGATGTTCGCAACAAAACGTCCCGACAAACTTCATTCCAAAACAGCGGTTTGTCATCCCGTGAATGGCGAGTGCATTTATTGTCCTGAACGTTGCATTTCGAAAGATATTCCCCAATGTCGTCACGTCGCTGGATCCCAATTTTGTGAGAGGTTTGCTCAGTGGTTTATTTAGACATGATGACCTGTCGAAATTGCCGCTAGAAGATAAATATTTTGCTACCCCATTTGCCGAAATTCACACTACAATACCGTGGCCCCGAGGGCAAGCGTCTTTTTTTAAGCCATATAACAGTCGAATTATAATTTGCCCAAAACACCCTTTGCTAAGAGCACAAAAGCAGAGTGGTTGGGGCTGCCGGCTGAACTAGGCCTGAACATTAACGTAGCACGCGGCCATGACCGTTTCCATTCAAAAGGAGCACATGAGGCGAAGTGTTTGTTACCGTGTATCCTCATAGATTCATTCGACTTGAAGACACAAGGCTGCTTTTGGTTACACGTCTGTGCACTGTAGTTTGGGGCTGGCTTTGGTGAGTAAGATATTGGCACATGGAAGCTCTAAACGGGCAGATTCAATTTGCCTGATTACCCGGAGGGACTGGCACGGATGAGTTCGTCACTGGTCTGACTATCACCTTCACCCTTATCGCCTCTTGAGGGCCGGACCCTTGCTCGCCGGGGTCTTTTCATGCGACTTCCTTTTCGCGTTTTACGCCGCTCTTGTGTTTCCTAAACGCTAAAGTCTTATAAGTCAAGCATTCATTTTTATTGCCAGGAATTTATCTACCAGTGCATGCCCCTAAAAGACGCCGATTTTCCTGAAATATCTCATATAAATCAGGTCAGGAACCGCTCTTAGGCAGTGTGATGAGGCAATATTTTGTCAGGGAATGTCAAATTGATCGCTGTAGAAAAGTCAGCTTCATGGCTCTAGCCGTTCGGTTGGGGGGAGAGATGGGGGGGGGTCTATTAAGACCATTAACAATTTAGACCAATAGAGCATTGTTGATCTATTGGGCTTTTGTATGGCAAATTTAGAGATGCGCTAAATGTTTCGAATGCCCATCAGTTTTCACACACCAAGTTATCATATATATTCATCGGAGAGCTAACTGACAAATGGATTTACAACATTTTCATGACGGCTCTTTCAGATTGGCCCAGGTATCAGCCGCTGGCGCCGCGTCTTTCCATTCTTGGTTGGTGAGAAGAGTAAGAAATAATGCCACGAGCTAGGTCAAAGAGCAAGTCACCGGGCAAGAAAACGCCCAAATCCAAGTCTCGTAACAGCCCACGTAGTCCAAAAAAGGGAAAGAAGGGAAAACACAAGAAAGGAAGAAAAGGCAAAAAACACAAGGAGGCGCCAGAGGAGGCGTCAGAAGTAGAAGGCAAGTGCAGAGACAAAACTACACATGAGCCTGTTGTAAAACTCTGATAAATGCCTCATGTGCCTGCAATAACGCAAGGATGCAAGGGAATGTTGTATGACGCGGCTTTATCGCTTAAGATGCAGGCCTTGTTGCGAACACCTGGAGGTGACAAAAGCTGTCGGCTTTTGGTTTCGCTTAATATGATGAACTTTGCATTGCACATATAGATTATTACACATGTACACATATACACATTACACCGCATAATATGATGAGACGCCAGGACATCTTTGTTTCGTTGTTGAATGCTGGAATGTTTTCAGATTCTCAGTTTGACGAGTCAGAATGCACCGAACTGGAGAGTGATGAAGAGATAGAATCAGAACCAGAAGAAGACGTGGAAGAATGGGTAGAATCGGTAACCATATGTGTAATGTGGATTGCCTTTTATTTACATGTAGTCTGAGATACGTGCCCTCCCCCCTCCCCCGCTTCTGGATGCAACGCTGCTCAGGAAACCTCCTACGAGTAGTGCCCCCAGGAGGCGACCTGAAAAATCCCGCTCCCCGCCCCTCCCCCCCCGTCCCCTCCCCAACTGAAAATCCGTGTCGCCGACCCTTGCGGCTAGTACCGTGTGACCAGCCTTTGGCAGCCGCTGATTGGCACACGAGGATTACTGACCTTAGAGCCGGCGATACCAGCCCGGCGGGGAACATGCTACGTCCAGGGTCACGCAGCCAGGGGCGGGTCCCGCTCCATCGGTCGGGTGGGCGGGCGGAGCACGGGAGTCGCAACGTACACTAAGATCCAGACAACCACAACGGGCGCAGAAAGTTTTACAATATTGCGATGAAACATAGGTGTTCGGCGAGCATCCATGTCGAGATGTCAGGTAGTGCCGTGGTAGTAGCTGAGCCTGGTTGAGGGTCTCAAACAATGAACGTGTCCCGGCGGAAAAATATGCGCAATCAGTGGTCACTGGCGAGCAGCAGGTCAGTGCGAGGAAACAGTATGCCTCCACTGAGGCCAAGGGTCGCGAGCACTGAACTTCAGAGCTTACGTCATGCTCGTCACGGTCAACTCAAATCACAGCAATGGTTTCACGCAGTCCATACGCACAGAACGGACAGCGAGACACTGAAGTGGAGAGGACGACGCGCGCCGGCACCGCGGCCACTCGGGGCGCAGCGCGCAGGCGACTTACAAACATCTGCCACTGTGGGGCTCATTGAGGGCGAAAAAAAAATATGTCCGGACTTCGCTTGGCCCTAGTACAAAAATGGCAAGACACACTGACAAACTTTTCAGCTCAAGAGACACGCCGAACGATAGGTATTGTATTATGCACCGTTGAAAATTAATTATCATCGGGGTAATTATTCACAGCATGTTCTGGTGAATCACTTCGAAGGGGGCAGGTGTCTGCACGCACTAATTACCCCCTCATCGTAAACCCTGGCGAATGTATGAGGTGTTGTTTTGCGTGCCACCTGGATGGTGACTCCATCCAGTCACCAAAGCTCTGGGCTCTCTTCCTGCGCGCTTACACATACGAAACTATCCTGGATAAACATGCGGAAGGTCGTAGTCCGCCTTTCAGCTCATGATGCGCTCTCTGAAGTGGTCTTCCAGCCAGGGCAAGGCCATTGGTGTGTGGTGAGCCGCCCCGTCCTGCTGCGGGGACCAGGTGTTTTCTCTAATGCCGTCTTCGTCGTGGAAGTCCTCTTTATAGGGAGGTAGTTGGAGGCCATTGTCCAGAATCTGTCCTGCGGGGCCATCTTTGGATGGATATGGATGGGTCCTTAGCAGTGACAGATCTGCCTTTGTGATGCCCCGTACTCCTCTCACGCTGTGCACTGTCAGCTGGCCGGTTTGATGTGAGGTGTGGTCTAGTTAGCCCTAACGGCGCCGCTCTCGTCCTGTTGTGACAGCCACTGAGTCCTTTTTCGCCCTCCAGGTGGGCTACATTCGACGGTGTGCACTGCTGTGTGGCCTGCCTGCCGATCTGTGGGATGCGTCTCATGACGAGAAGATTGCCACTTTCCTGAAAGACGAGACCCGCCCCATGATCACATTCTTCGTGGAGACGGACCAGGAGCACCACAAGATTTTAACGGCTCTGTTCGGCGCGCCGATCCAACAGGTTTGCGCCTGTTCCTTTGTGCACCAGCAGTAAATACGCCGTGGAACGCCTTTTTGAAGAAGGGTACGTCAGAACCGCTCAGCCTTAAGCCGCACGTACGCAGTTACGGTATTCTAAACAGAACAACTTTTGGCGCGGAGTCGGGACTTTCCAATCATGAAGCGAGCCGTCCTTACATCTCAGCGTCCCATGCAACGTGACGGTTTCCAAGGTCATGACTTCTGTCGTTGGTGGCGCAGGTGGATGAGGTGATATACTTCCTGAAGCGACCCAGCGCGCCACCTGTCTTAAGCGACCTTAACTACCGGGGCAAGGTGGCATGGGGTAACATGAAGGCTCCCTTTCTGGAGTCGCTGCTGATTCCGGATGTCCTCCCTGTACATGCCGTACTTCTTGGATGACACCACATGGCCGGACAGTATCCTTTCGCAGCAAGACTGAGGGTGCTCACCGTATTCCTCGCTTTTGGGCGATATCGAATCTTTAAAATGTTAATGTCCTGAAGCAATAGCTCATGGTAACAAAACGGGATGCTTAATCCCCTTCACTGTGTGATGTCTAAAACCACATGACCATGTGCCAGCAGCAAGTGATCGTAGATCAATATCAATATGTACACAGAAAGTATCTAATGCGAACTTATAGAAGTGTCTCAGACCTGTTGTTTGCGCTGTCGACTTATTAGTACTCCGGGTACTGATTTCTAAATCTTTTTGGTAGAACATTGAGTGCTTAGTGCCAAATAAGTTTATTTTGACTTTCCGCGTTACGTTCGTCACATACCCTTATTGCCTGTAGTGTTTTCACTCGTTATCAAAAACGTTTGAAAGTGTTAAGCTACTATCGTTGACTGGCATAAGTGTGTGTCAGCCTAGTCTATCATCCAGTAGACATCACCCTTTCTTAACTAGATTATCTCAGGCATCCGGAAAGATTTTTCCGGGAAGCTGCAACCGGTTTATGGCCTACCTGACGGACGCTCGGTACAAGGCCATAGGCCAGACGGTACTGTACATCCCCTCCGAGGACCTGTCCCGCCCCGTAGAGGACATGGCGAAGGACAAGGATCTGGTGGAAAGGTTGGAGGGTGAGTGACCCCCACTGGCGCTGCGGAGTCCGGCGCCTTACAGAACTGCTGTCGGAGTGCTACCGCAGAACCAATTGCTTAATGCCACTTGTCAGTCTGGTAGCGGACCCTGTAGAGCGGGCCTCAGAGCTGGCATGGTTGTCACGGGCTGTAGTCAGTGGCCGGAGCGACATGGAGGGTTCAATCACAGAACGGACGTCGCCGGGCTCTCACTGGATAGCGACTGAAGGCTGGAAGGTCGATGCTCTGCCTACATTGGCCAACCACGTAGCGTCACGTGTCCTTTTCTGTAACCAAGGCTCGTGTTACCAAACAAGCTCCTTCTACCTGGTATTTTGTGTTCTGAGTGAATACGGGCGCTGGCGGTAAGGTAAAAACATCGGAAGCGATTTTTGGGCTATAGGTTGCCCGCTTCATCTTGTGACTGGGCATGGCAATATTGCGCTGTACGTCGCTTTCGCCGCTGAGACTGCTGCCTCTTCTGACGCGTCTCACGTCCTGCCCACTCCAAATGTTGTTTCCGGTCACCGTGACGTCGGCTGCGGCGCTCTGCAGCGGCGATGGTGCACTGGATCCGCCAAATCAAGGAGATGCTGAGCAGCTTGGACTCGATCGAGATGCCAGAAAAAGCCGGCCCGCTGGACGAGATTCACTTCTGGAACGATCGCTGTACGTGCTCTAATAAGGCCTATGCTGATATATTTCGTCTCGGACTAATACGCCTGCAGTATAACATTTTAGCTTTTTTGATGAGCAAATTTTAATTGTTAGTAGTGCTAAGCTCATATCGTGTGTCTTCATGTTTGTGTAATTTGTCCCTGTTCTTGTTAATTCACTCTGGTGTAATATTTCGGTTTGCCCGATAGTCATGCATTCCATCGATTTTGATAGTGTTGACTTGATGTTGTGTATTTTTCGCAATTAATTCAAAATCAACTGCTCAGCTAGCCTGTCATTGATGCCCATGGGCTTGACGCTATGTTTAGCAGCACTGTTCAGTAGTTCTTTTTAATCCCAGCGTTGGTCGATTAAGCGGATAGACGGTTATCTGATTAATCCGCAGTCAAACTAAGTTGAAATGTGTATTTGTAGGAAGTGAAGGCGTGAAACTAAATTGGGAGCATGCAAACACGAATCCCGATTCATTTACGCTGATGAAACACAGTTTACATAGCTGAACATAGTCGCGTACGAACAACATAGTCATGTGCAATCGCGTGTGGCCAGTTGCTAGGATTACGCGCAATGGCCTTCTAACCCGGCTGTTATTTTTGCGTATAAGCTATGGGATCGCGTTCGCTCAGCTTTTGGTTTATTTATTCTGCATTTGAGTGTTTCCAAAACCAATGAATACAACGGCAACGCGCCTAAGATCCGTGTACTCTTTTCTGCGCTGCCTTCGTCTTGTGGCGAGGAGATCGTTTTAAGTAGTATTGATCAAAACCAGGCATGTGATGTCGCCTTCATCATGATAGAAAGGTGACGTGCTGTCAGATGTTATGACTGGGGTCCTACAACCGCTGGAAATCTGGGGAAGTATTAATTAAGTTCCTTCTGTTGGCCAGACTTATCCAGCCGTATTTTTTTTACAGTTTTTGAAAGCTTAGTGCAACGTCATCAGTCGCATCACAGATACTTAAACTGACTGACGCTGGCATTCAGAGCACCATACCACCACCCGCGACGGCATATGCAAAAGAGATCCCCAGAGTGCTCTCAATAACATGTATGTCATGTTGATGACGTGAAGCCTGGTTTCAAGGAGGTCAGAAGTGCCTTAATTTAATATAATAAAAAGTCAAGGTTTCTTAATTCTTATCTCAGTGTTGTAGGAAAGTAATATAATTGCATGTTGGTACTGAACTTCAACCAAACCGAGCGTGTTCTAAGAGTTGTCCGATTACAGACCATTTCCAACAAGGCAAAATGTTCACACACATACTGCTCGCTCTATCATTGCACCGTGCTGCGCTTTATGGGGCCATAATGTTTGCAAGCTGCAGTGCAGCCCGTATACTATCAAAAGGTACGCATAGCCATCCGCGGCACCTGACCTGTTCACCTCAGGTCGGCGAGATGTATCATTCGTCGAAGTGATCGGGTACTGCGGTACCTTGGACCCTCGGTTCCTGTCTGGGGTGTACGTGTTTTGCTGGTTTTCACCTCAGGTAAGGACCTGTCAGGCGTTAAGGTACAGCTGGACAGCGTGGTGGTGAAGAAGATGAGCGATGTTTTGGAGCACGCGAAGTCTTCTTATATCGGCCGTTTCAACCGGCTGGCCCACGAAATCCAGGACGGGTCACAGCAGGCCGAGAGGTGAGGTCGCGCCACAGCACTGAGCTAAGCGGCTGGAAACCTTAAGGCCCGCTCACGCCTGCAGACTGACTTAGGATCCGCTGCAGAGTCTGCAGCCAGTCAGCTTTTGCAAACTGGACGCGCTAGATGTAAGGCCGCAGGCCCGCAAAGCGCGGGTTTAACAGCTACAAAATGGCGCGCCTGGTAAGCATCCACCGCATTGGAGAGTCCGCAGCAGATCCTAGCGTGGTCAGGTGTTACGGACGAGAGATATCCTTTGTGCTCTATTCCCCACGGTTTGCGGGCCCGCGGGCTAAGAAACTGGCGTCTCCAATCCGCAGCAGCTGGCTGGCTGTAAACTGGATCGGTTCCGCAGCTACTTCGCAAGGTGCAAACGGCCATTAACCGCATGACGTCCTTTCGACTGGGGGACCTGTCTCCGTCTTGCCGGAGTGGTCTGTCGCCAACTAGCCCTCGTTGCCGACTCGGCTTCGGTGTGAATTCTGAGTCGCTCACCTGCGTGCCCGCCGGGTGATTACCCGGGTGTCAGATGCTGTGCGGACATAAGGGCGGGCGCGCTTGGTGTTGAGTGACAGCAACGCCCCTGACTTAAGGATATTCCATACAAAGTCCCGCTGCCAATCCATCACATTGCAAAACGCGCTATGTGGACACTGAATCGACTTGGTGATGCTTGCAATAATAATAACTATAAATTCAAAGATGTTATGTTAGAGCATAACCGAAGTCTGGTCTACACGCGTGTACCTCTGGTAGGTCGAACAAGCTTAGGCTTTCTTTCCTAGTTTCCGGCTCCCTCGTGTTTTTTTCCCTCGTTTCCGGCTCTCATAGTTTCTTACGTGGCTCCGGCCCCCCCTCTTGATTTCTTCTCTAATTCCCTGCTACCGGACTTCAGGACATGCAGTGATGCGGATGAGGGTTGTGAGACCGAGTGGTTAGGACCTTCGACTACTATGTAAGTGCCCGGGTTGGAACCCCCGGTTGCACCATGGCCCCTGAGCGATTGGTGTGGTTTTTACAGCCGTCGTCCATTCATAAAAGAGTGCGCGGCCATGTATGTCGCGTTCCTAGGCCACATATTGCCTGAGCCGACAAATGGACACCACGTCTGACTGAGGCCGGCTGCAACGCTGGCGCTAACCTTGGCCCGCCCGCGTCCGGCAGCAACAAACACTACCTGAGCCTGCTGCAGGAGCCATGCGAGGAGCTCAGCAAGTCATCGCCGGACGAGATGGCCGGCCAGCTGGAGCACGTGCTCACTCTGATACGCGTTGTGTGGAACAACTCGCCGTACTACAACACCAGGTGCGAAAGGGGGAGCGGCGAGACTCAGCATACCCGTTGCTTTCTTTCGTGAGTCCTCCACTTCAAAGATCTGTCTGATTTATTGCGAAGACACGCATTCGGAGAAGCGCGTTAGCCGCTGCCAGCTTCGCCGGCCTCAACACATTTGGCAGTGCAATCTCACGTGAGTTAAGACGCCTTCTGCCATTCCATTCCACGGCTTACGTGATGAGGCAAAAATTTGGAGACGGCGGCAGTCCGCACATGATTTACGCCGGCTTGTCTATGTGCATGTTATTTTACCGCATTTCTCAGTTTGACCTGTCTGGTTGGATCCGACGTGATCAGACGATACTTTTTCGGTATCATGGTCCATTTTACGTTCGTTACTGAAAACTTCCTCGAGCAGGGTAAGATTTGCTTTCAATGGATAAATTAAGCTCGTTGGTTGCCATTGCGTGACCTTGGGTGACAATGGGATTTAAATGTCCGTGTGCGGCAACGACACTGCTACACTAAAATATTTTCGGACATTGTTTTGAACACTTTTGAAGCTATGCGATGGTGGGATACTGCCAAGATCTCGTGCACTTGGGCAAATACTGGTGCTGAGAGGGCTAACAATCCAGCGCGGAGCACCACTTGTCCAAATTCCCACCTTGTAGGCCTTTGAGGACGAATCAACTACCTTTCCCATTCATGCCACCGAGGCTGACAGGGGCCACGATCCGATCCATCGATCTCCCAAGGCCCCGCCAGCCCACTCCCTGGCCTGGCGCAGACCTCCCACTGCTTTGTGCCAGCCGCATATGAGCCACGTCTTCTCCCTATCCACCATAGCCACAAAAGTGAATTGATGAGTAAAAGGGCAATACTTAAAAGCTAAAGCTCAGCCCAGCCCAGCTCGACACCACTCGCGATAGAACAGCTGGCTGATATACACGCCCAGCTCTGATGAGAAGACCACGCTCCATCTGCCCCCGACAGTTGCGATACATCGTTCAGGGTGTGTTAGGAATGCACATTCTCCTTCAGAACAGGCTGCTTTGGGGATAAATATGTACCATTTGACGAAATGACCAATAATTTCGTTAACGTATTCTGATTTGCTGTCCTACAAAGGTAAAAAGGCCTGAGCGCCATCAGGTAACTTGTTCACAGGAACATTCTAGACTTCAGCGAATTGGACGTAGTCAGGTGCTGATGCTCTATCTAACGGCCACGGATTCTGGTGTCTGTTTCTAGAGCATTACAAAACAGGGGAACCAATAAGCTTACGTAGCAGTGCACTCACATTACTTATAACCCCTACGTAAATTCTAACTAAACATGTATGTATTCACACATGTATACAACTTCAACTCGACATCAACGGGAAAATTCCCCATGGAGCGGAGTGCAAATGATCAGGCCTAAAGGCAGACCTTCAAGTAACGATAGCCACCAGCAGCACCATGCGGGAGACGCGGTGGCAGTGCGGACTCGTGACAAGCGGGCATGCTCGGGAGGCGGGTCCGAGCGCGTCAGCCTATTTTGCGGACTTTACTCTTGGGCCTGTGTCTCCTGTCATCGCTTGATTTGTGGTTGGGTTCGTGCTTCTTTTTGTTTTGTTTGGAGTCGTATTTGTTGTTGGGTTCGCATGCTTGCGTACTGCGTCGCACTCTACTTCGCCTGTGTGAGATTACCACCAGTTATACAGGGTGGTGTTCTGAAGTGTTCTCGCCGTGCCAAGTCCAAGTGCTGTTATGCTGAGAACGCGGTGTAATTCACGAATTTCTCGCTCATTGCGCTTGAAGAAATAATCCAAGGTGGCAATGTTCATCATCAGTTTCGCTATTCTTCCAGTGGCTCCAAGAACCAGCTGAGCTTAACATTTCTGCCCCTGTGTAGGTGGGGTTGTGTCATGTTTGGCTTTTGAATGACTGCCGCCACTGCTGTCGCCCGGGAGCGC